TAATGACATGGGAAAATACCCGAACAAAGCTGAATACCATACATGTATGTATATATGTATATACACATACACACACACATACACTGTGTATATATATGTGTATATGTGTGTATATGTATACATGTATAATATATACACACAATGTATACACAAAACCTCAGAAAACATACAGATAGATAGATAGATAGATACATAGATAGATAGATAGATAGATAGATAGATAGACAGACAGACAGACAGACACACACACACACACACACACACACACACATATATATATATATGTTTTCTGAGGTTTTGTGTATACATTGTGTGTGTATATATATGTGTGTGTATGTAGGTATGCATATATATATACATACATACACACACACACATACACTGTATATGTGTGTGTATATGTGTGTGTATGTATGTATGTATGTATGTATGTATGTATATATATATATATATGTGTTTTCTGAGCTTTTGTGTATACATTGTGTGTGTATATATATGTGTGTGTATGTAGGTATGCATATACACACACACACACACACACACACACACACACACACGTATGTGTATGTGTATGTATGTATACACACACACACATATAAATTATAGACATATAGACATAACTTATGGGGAATGTAAGGAACTGCACAGTAGCACTGATCCTAAAGATTTATAATGTGCTGCCTTCATCTGCGCCTGTTAATGCGGCTGCTTTGATTGTCCAATTTCATTCACGTGGAGGGAGTGCCGATGAAACCTCTAGCATTTTCACGTCTTCGGAACACCAAATGCTCTTTGCAAAAGATTTCACCTTTCCTTGCTTAAGTTTTCTGAAGCAAATCCACATCGATTCAGAAACTCGGGCACGAAGCCTCCCTAGGCACAGATGCTCGCTTGGACCCAATTCCAGCCTAAGCGCTCAGCCTCTCTTTTAACATTTAAGGGAGATGAACACGCGTGTGGGCCTCCGTGTCCGTGTGGTTTTTAGATTCCGTCCGGAGGTCCTTTTAATAGGTTGGAAAATATTCTTCCTATGAACTTTCCAGGCGTCCTGTGCTTGAATGAGCATCGCTTCTCATTGGCCGCCCACCGCGTCCCCCGATTGGTTCCTGGTCGGGGAAGGACTTTTAGGGGTGGGGGGAGATAAGAGAAGCTATAAAAACTCCAGGTTGGTCACCTGCAGCGAGTAGGAGCCAGAACCGAAGAAGAAAAGAGGGGCTCTCTTGGTTGAGCTGATTCGGCGAGTCTTTCTCTCCTCCTTCTCTCCTTCCTCTCTTTTTCTCCAACAGCCAGATCCGTGTCTTTGCTCAAGCCAAAGAAGTGGGCAGAGAGAGAGAGAGAAAGAAGCAGAGAAAGAGAGAGAGAGAGTCGAGCGAGCACGCCGCGCGAACTTGGCGGAAACTTAAGAGAATGCGCCAAAAGCCCACGCTTCTGCTGCTGCTGCTGGCGGTTGCTGCTGCTTCTGCTTCTGCATCCTATGAAGTCGAGCAGAATGACTCCTCCGTCAGCCCCAGGAAGGTCAGGCTCGCAGCCCAAAACTCAGGTAACTTCTCCAGATCCTTTCCCTTGTGGGGGGTGGGGGAAGTTCTCCTGCGCAAGTGCTCCCCCTTCTGTGAAATCCAAGAAGCCAGGTGCTAAGAGGGAAGCTTGCGCAGGAAAACTTTCCAGGGGGTGAAATGGGTTTCTCTGCTCGCTTGGCTTGGCTGCTTTAGGGTACGAGAGGGAAAAGCAGGCAAGCGATCCCTTGTGGTATGGGGGGGAGGGCCGGGGGGGCTCTTCAGAGGGGCCCAAACCCGTGCCTTGTCGTGCCATCTAACGGAGAATGCCATCCTTAGCGAATGACAAGCCCGACTCGAAATCCTGGATGGATCTAGAGTTGGATTCGCTGCACCTAATCCTCTGGGCATTCCCTCTTAAGCCCTGCCCTTTGCAGAAGTTCACCGAAGCAGATTTCCACCACCCCCTATTTGCAAATTAATTGAAAATCCCCCACCCCAGTATTCTATGAGTTGCCTTCTCCAAAGACAGAAAATGCCAGGAGTGGAAAACGTGCCCTTAAAAAGAGAGGGAGAGAGAGAGTGAGGAAAGGAAGAAAGGAACTGGCCATGCATGCTTCAAGTAGGAGTATAGATGCCGGTTCCTGGAGACTGTTAACTTTTCACTTTTCTTTTTAGAGTCCTTTCAGCAATTTTTTTTTTTGCCTTGTATACCTCACATGCAGAGCTTGGGGTTTTCCATAGGTGCATATCCTCTTCTAATGAGCTTTCTTTAAAATGAAAGACTTTACACTGGGAGGTTCTCTGGCTTCCAGTATGGCAAGATATCACTTGCATCTTAATTTTCAATCCAGGAAACTCCACTCCCCTAATCTGACACTTGCCAGGGGAATGGTTTTTATTTCAGATCTGCAGGGCTCTGCAGCACTGATGCTGGAGTATTTGCTCAATTTCCTTTTGTACTTGGTTACTATAGAAACCTAGGGTCTCTGTTCTTCCAGGGTGTCTAAAACAATGAGAAGCCCCAATGCTTATTAAACCTGCAGATTGCAAAGTTCTAAGTTGAATCCATGGAAACATCATAAGAGAAAGCAGATGTCCTGGGTACCTACTGATTTTATATATATATAAAATCTTTCACTTGGCACATCTAATACCATTGGAAGACAACGCCTCTGTTTTAAAGACTCCACTTACAAGGTACTAGAATACAAAGGTTAATTTTTTTTTTTTGAAAATTACTGCTTAGTGCCCTCCAAAATTCCTTGATTTCCTGCAACGTATTTTAGTCAAGTGTTTCTTTTTTTAAAAAAAGAAAAAAAAACTTCAGTTATATTCCTGATACCTACAAGGTGATCGGGTAGAAAAGAAGGCATATGTTTTCAAGATGGCACGTAGCTAAGTAGAAATTCAACTTGGAGGGGGAAAAATAATTTAAAAAGAAATAATACCATCAGGGTGTTGTTGTTTTTTAGCAAAACTGCTGGAAGAAAATATTTTTTACCTATAGGTAGTCCTCAGCTTATGACTACAATTGGGACCAGAATTTCCACTGCCGAGCAAGGTTGCTAAGTGAGACCTGCCTTATTTTATGGCCTTTTTTTGCCAAGGTTGTTAAGCAAATAACTGCAGAGTTCTGTGTATCACAAAGTCATTCTGACTCTGCTTGTCAGAAGCTGTCCAGGAAAGTTGCAAGTGGTGATCACATGATTCCAGAATGCTGCAACCATCATAAATGTGGTTGTCAACCATCTGGATTTTGATCATGTGACTTTGGAGATGCTGCAATGGTCATAAGGCACCACTTCAGTGCCATTTTAACTTCAGATTGTAAGTTTACTTGATTCAATGTTCATTTGCGATAAATAAGTTGGATTTTTTTTTAACGAGATCTCTTTACAAAACACTGTATATCCTAGCTCTGGCTCACGGCGATGTTCCTGATATTTTCCCCTTCCTCAGTTTTACAATCTCCCTTCCAATTGGACTGAAACATCTTGGTTGCCTGAAGATCATTCACTGAGCTTCAGGAAATCAAGAAATGATTTAAATCTGGGTCTCCGTGGGCCTAGGGCCACATTTTAGCTATGACTTTTCATTGCCTTTACCCAACCAAAATCTTCCATCTGTACTTCACTTTTATGGACTTCCTAAGCTCACCTTTGGTGATGGCTTCCTAATGCATTTCTTGTAATTGGGTCCAAAAAAAATTAGGGCACATTTGCTCATAGATAGCCTTCATAGAGTGTCTTCTGGAACAATGGAACAGAACTATTAAAAAAACGTTCATTCCATAGTCTATATGGGATGTTGTTGTTGTTAGTCGCGAAGTCGTGTCCGACCCATCACAATCCCATGGACAACATTCCTCCAGGCCTTCCTGTCCTCTACTATCCCCCAGAGTCCATTTAAGCTCACACCAACTGCTTCAGTGACTCCATCCAGCCACCTCATTCTCTGCCATCCCTTTCTTCTTCTTTTGCCCTCAATCTATATGGGATAGTAGGTTCAATTTGTAAGAATCTTTGCATATGGGGAGAGGCAGGGGGAGGAGGGGAGACCTTCAGCATTCAACAATGTTGAATGTTATCATCAAACAACAAAAGTAAAGATATGTTGCCTCTGCTATGTTCCCATCCCATGTTCACAATCCAATGTGGTCATTTTTAAAAGTGCCCCTTTATAAAATTGGTCAACATTATTAAAGAGGTGGTATGTTTATTATAAAAGTAAAGGTTCCCTTCGCATACACATGCTAGTTGTTTCTGGCACGAGGGGGTGATGCTCAACTCCAGTTCAAAGCCGAAGAGCCACTGCTGTCCGAAGACATCTCCGTGATCATGTGGCCGGCATGATTAAATGCCAAAGGCGCATGGAATACTGTTACCTTCCCACCAAAGGGGTCCCTATTTTTCTACTTGCATTTTACGCGCTTTTGAACTACTAGGTTGGCAGAAGCTGGGACAAGTAACGGGCGCTCACTTCGTTACAAGTAATTCAAGTAGCTCCATTACTTGATGCTAAGCTTGTCGATCAGAAAGGTCGGCAGTTCGGCGGTTTGAATCCCTAGCACCGCGTAACGGAGTGAGCGCCCATTACTTGTCCCAGCTTCTGCCAACCAAGCAGTTTGAAAGCACGTAAAAATGCAAGTAGAAAAATAGGGACCACTTTGGTGGGAAGGTAACCACGTTTCATGTGCCTTCAGCATTTAGTCATGCCAGCTACATGACCACAGAGATGTCTTCGGACAGCTCTGGCTCTTCGGCTTTGTAATGGAGATGAGCACCGCCCGCTAGAGCCAAAAAAAATCTAGCATGTATGTGCAAGGGGAACCTTTACCTTTAGAGTTTCTTTCTGGAGTCATAAGACATGTTTTATCATTTACCTTCTCCTTGTCCCTCTCCTGCAGATGTTTATGGTGTGAATTAATTAAGAGACTTGTAAAATTGCAAAAATTGAGTCTTCTGCTTTTCTAATTCCAACACTGATCTGTAGTCAAGCCATATTTTCTTACGGGCCATTTTAATAAATAAAAAGAAATGAGATGAACAGATTAAAGCATAAAATTAGATATTTCAGAACAAAGAAACCAGCAAATAAATATGGAGATTTCTCCCTCAACCTATTTATCAGAGCCCTATCTTTCCAGACTCCCTCAATCAACCATAGCTTTCGGGCTTCAGATATACTGGACTAGAAGTCCCATAAAACCTTTTCTTCCTTTGTCATAATTGGGTTAGGCAGGTATTTCAATGTTTCATATATATGAATCTGCTTTTGTAGCTGCTGGGATTCTGAATTAGATTTGAAATGACTTGTGTTATCACGTTATGGTCAAATTGCCCTGAATCAAATTGTACTGAGGACCTTGAAAGAATTATTTCCTTGGTAGAAATAATATAAAAAAATATCTCAACTAAATAACAACTGTCTGAGTGGGCAGGTGTATTGAGAGGCTCTACAGCAGACTGGTTATGGTCTGATAGAATTGCATCAGTTTGGTAGACTCCAAGTAGCTTTAACATCTTGTTTGATTTGGAAAATAACGTGCAGTTCGGATGCTCACCTGGGTTTGATTTCTGCCCAGAATTTTGCCCTTCTGATGTATCAGTTGGGCCCCGATGAGTGGAGTATGAAGGTATTTTCTTCATCAAACCTTTGGAAATGAATTTTCCCCACCCCCACAGGCTGCAGATATATGAGAAACTAGTATTGTAATAGGAAGAGAAGAACATTATTCATGGACGTCTATGGAGATTCTCAGTCCTCCAGGTCATGGTTGTCCCAGAGTTGCTTTTTTCAAGAGGCAACTGGACTTTCTGGTTTTTCTTTGAAGACATTTCACTTCTCATCCAAGAAGCTTCTTCAGCTCTGACTGGATGGTGGGGAATGGAAGGGTTTATACTCCTTGCAGACAACTGGTCATTTTCATTCTTTAGCGGGTCGAAGAGGCCATTTATGTCAAAATTGGAGGCCCAAAGAGGCCATTTATATCAAAATTGAACAGCCCTCTTTCAACCGAGGGGGAGGGATATGGCATCATCTATCTCCAATTTATAACACAGTCCTTTTAACAGTTCCAAGAAGGCTCCACACCTATTTGCACCACTCAGGTGACCCTGAGGGCACAGATAAACCTCCAGGTCACCTTAATGACCCGCTAAAGGAATTCAAATGACCAGCTGACTGCAAGGAGGATAAATCTTCCATTCCCCACCATCCAGTCAGAGCTGAAGAAGCTTCTTGGATGAAAAATGAAACATCCTCAAAGAAAAACCAGAAAGTCCAGTTGCCTCCTGAAAAAAAGCCCCTTTGAAACATTATTCATGCACAGCCATGTAGCACCAGCATTAGAAGTGCCTTTCCCTTGAAGTCTTACAGCATAGTTGATCCTCAAAACAACTCCCATTTTCTAAGGTAGTAGGAGACCATTTTTTTCTTGAAACAAAATCTTCCAGGGCAGCAACTGGGCTCCGCCGAGACCCTGAAAGTTGAGTGTTGTGGCTGAAAATGCAACGAACCCCTTACTAAGGGTGATGTGTCGAGGAGAGCTATGTGGAAATAAAACATGACTCAGCAAATGTGACCGATACCTTCTACCAGCTAAGCTGAAAGCTGCTATGGTTTTGAATCAAGTGTGATAGAAACTTGTGCTAAGATGTTTTCTATGTCTTGTCTACCCTTTTCTTTGCAGTGGATGTGGTTCGATGTCTAAATAGTGCCCTCCAAGTAGGATGTGGGGCTTTTGCCTGTCTGGAAAACTCTTCGTGTGACACAGGTGGCATGTATGACATCTGCAAATCTTTCCTCTACAGCGCTGCTAAATTTGACACTCAGGTATGGTACAGATTTGAATAATATCCTTTTTATGTGCATCAGGGTTTCTGATAGGCCAAGAAGGAGCTTTTTGGCTCGTGAATATATGAAATTTAATTGCATATAAAATAGGGCACCACTTTTTGTATGCAAAAGACCTTAAACTTCATCCCTAGCATTTCTTCTCGGGGCTGAAAAAGATTTAGATGTGGAAAAAGAAATCCGAGGAGCATAGACAAATGAGTAACATCGTACAAATGGATATGTAGTCTTCAACTTACAACCCCAATGGGAACCAGAACATCCATTGCTAAGTGAAATGGTTGCAAAGTGGGTCGCACCCAATTTTGCAATCTTTTTTGCTGGGGGCTGTTAAATACATCACTGTGGTTAAGTGAAACATTTCAAAAATTGGCCAGGAAGGTAACAAAGGATGATCACATGAGACCCTGGGATGCTCCAACCATTGTAAATGCAGGAATTTTGATCACATGACCTTCTGTCACAGTCATAAGTGCAAGGACTGTCTACAAGTTACTTTTTTTTTTCAGCATTGTGATAATTTTGGTCATTAAACAAATGTGTTGAGGACTACCTGTAAAGTTTTTGAGTTTGGTTGCAGGTGTAGACATCTATGACTGAGAAGCTGCTTGATATGGTTAACATAGGGATACCATAACTGTGATTCTTATATTTAAGTCTATGGTCTTTCATTGATTGCATTTTATATTTTTTTAAAAAGGATTTGATTGAGCAATAAGTTAATAATTGCACTAGTAACCTTATCTCTTTTTTTGCATCTGAAGGAAGTAAAATGAGAAAGAATCAACAGCATAATCAATAAAACTGTTGATCATTATATAAGAGAACAGGAATCCTGCAACATTCATTTTAAAGCAAAAATAACCCATAGGAAAGTCTAGTTCTATCTACAAATTTTTGTATGAACCAGCATGCCTTCAGTTATTGAAACCAGCTGCAGTAAAATATTGCTTTTTTTGAAGGCCCTGTTTCAGATCATGAACTTAGGCCCACTGATGGGTTCCTTCTGCCATGGATCTTACTGCACCAGTTCATTGATGTTGGGATGGTTCATTGAATGGGTCTGAATCATAAAACATGTAGCTTTATAGACATGTATTATTATCAGTAGGTGACAACCTCTGGGCAACCATGGGGGAAGAGTCTGTGAAGCTGAACCAAGTTCAAACCCAGTTGGTACTCACATGGAGCACTACAAAAAATATAGATTCAAGTGAGTAAAAAAAAACCCCACCATTTTAGAAGAAGCCATTTCCATATGGCTGCCAAGAAAATGACCTAGATGCTCTCCTTAAATCACCAGTGCAATTTGGACTTTTTTTTTTTCAGGTGCACGTTAACTCCTTGAGTTGGTTGTTACAGCTTGCCAACTCAATGCTTTCAAAGGCTGATATCAGGGTGCCAAGTAATGCACCCATAGAAAGTAGAACTCCGAGGCAGGCAGATTCCTCAAAAGAACAGTTTTACTGGATATATCATGTTATCACAACTGGTGAAAGCCAACTCTGAAAGTTCCTGTGGTTTTCACCTAATTAAAAAGTAAAAGTCTCCCCTTCACCCCAGGTCACTGGCCATGCTGTCCAATCCAGTTGCTGGCTGGTTGCTTGGTTACTTCACTCCTCCTCTGGCCAGCCACCTGTCAGAATGTCCTTGGTTCCCACAAGAAATCTTCGTTGATTTAGCTACAAAATCCCATCTAACTATTCCTCCCCCCTGTTGTTGTGGCAAGCCTGAACCCTCCAAGATGGCCTCAGCCAAGTTCACTTCAGGATTGACAGCTGGTATCATATGGTCAAAGGGTAGAAATGGTTGTGATAAAATTATACAACATCTGCTAACACCCACAGTGCATTGAACTTGCAGTCTGTCATTTCAAGCAGTATTTTTTTCTTCCAGTGCAAACTTAATTAGGTAAAATACATGTGACTGGTGAAGATCATGACTGGGAATGTCTGTTCCATTATCCATTTTACCTGAGCTTATTAAGTAATTAGAAGGCAAGGCCTGGGCAGCACAAACAAACACAACAGCCAACAACTTAAAAGCCAGCCATCAACACACACGCCAATCTGCATCTAAAATGCCACATACAACAGGCCCCATATTAATACCACACAGAACAGCACACACTCTGCTAGAGAGAAGTTCCTTGAAGGTGGACTCTAGCACCAGCCCAAAAGCTTGGAACACAAAACTTCTAAGTCCCAGTGACTGGCCTAGATTGGATCCTGCATTACCCTTTGTTTTAATATTTATGAAATAGCTTTGCTCTACTTCATTTTTACATGCTAGAAGAAATATTAAATTGCAGAAGCATGCATGATCTTCCAAGTTCCATGTGCTTCCAGATCGTATCGCCTAATTTTTTTTTAAGTCTAAAATGTCTAAGAGCTAAGTGAATTTGTCCATAATCACAAAGATCTAATAGTTACAGCTGTTTTTCAATCCATATCATGGTCCTGCCACTGAAATAAGAAAAGTGTTCAAAATATCATTAGCAAGGACAGGTGAACTTTGGTATGGATGCAATGGCAGCATTGCAGGAAGACCTGGCCTTTTTCAAAGCAAAGGACACTTTTGAGTGGCATCAGAGGAGCTAAACTCAACAAAGTAGCTGAATTTAGACAACATTTATACATATTGGCAAAAAAAAGCAGGAGTATATTCAAAAATTCTTTTCAAGGATATCGTTAGAAGCCTCAGAATTTGAAACATTAAATCTTTTTATGATCATCATCAATAACATTTTTTAAAAGGTTGGAAGAATTAACACTTTGGTTAAAGGAGTATAAATATACTATTAATGAAAATTAGGGCACTTTCCTAAAATAATCAAGAACTAGAAGCTACCAATAAAGGAGAATATTTACAGCTGAGGATTGAAATAGCGGGTCCTTGGTGCTCTGAGCTTTTGTTTTCTTGTAGATGTCTATGGAGATTCTCAGTCCTTCAGATCATAGCTGTCCTAAAGGTGCTTTTTCAAGAGGCAACTGGATGTTCTTGATTTTCTTTGAAGACGTTTCGCTTCTCGTCCAAGAAGTTTCTTCAGCTCTTTGGTGTTCTCTGAGCTTAGCTGTTTTCTTGCAGGCACTTCATTACCCAAACTAGCTAACATTATCAGTGTCCTGATGAGCTTGTCTAGTTTGGGTAATGAAACATCTGCAAGAAAAGAACACCAGAGAACACCAAGGACCCCTCAACTGGAAGTTGATCAGAATCTGTTTCTTCCAAACCTGCTCAATATTTGAAAAGGATGAGCCCTTAAATTAATTTCCACACCCATCACCTACTTGACTCTTTATTTTTCAACTTGTCTTTTTATTCTGAAAATGAAAAGTAATAGCAGGAGGGCTGGAAAATGAGAGGACTTTCATATTTAAAAGAGCTATACACATTTTCAAGACTCCAAAAATGGGAGACCTATCAGAAAACAAGTTGAAGAAATGTTGCTTATTCGTGGTTTCAAATATATCAGTTTATCTTTTTTTTAAAAAAACTGCAGTTCTAGTCATTAGAACAAAAGCAACTAGAGGCTGGAGTAAATTGGAAATGAGGCAAATTCATCCTCTAATGGAGAGAAATGGATAATGTCAAAAATGTGCAACATTCTAACAGAGAACATAAAAAGAAATAGGCTGAAAAAAGAATATATAAAATCAAATATAAATGCCTTCTCCAGAGTTCAGATAGAATGACTGGCCTGAAGTCACCCTGTTGGCTTCAGGCCCAAAATAGGATTAAAACTTCCTTCCCGTTTCTCACCCAGTGCCTTTACACACTATGGCAAAGTAGCTGTTCTAAGAATCCCTTTCCTTTTGATGGTTACCCAACTGACATAGAAAACCATTGAAATCAATATTCCTCAAAATTGGAGAAAACTCAAAAGTATTTTGTAGGGGATATTCAACACCAATGTAACTTATAAGGTGTTATACTATAGATGTCCAGACTTTTTGGACTGATTCTTTTAAAAGTTAAAATTGGTTTATATAACATTATTGCCTCCTGTGTTGGCTTTGCAAAGGTTTTGTTTCAACCTGTTGAAACATCAAAACTTGATACCTTCTTATTTGTCACAGCCAGTCAGTAGTATCAAAATCTTGAAAAACAGGAAAAGAAATGAATATTACCGTTTCCATATGATATTAGATATGCTATATGTCAACCCTGAAGTTTGCTTTCATGGAAATTCTGGCCCCCAAAAAGCATCACTATCACAATAATAAAGAAAAAAAATATGTTTTTTGGCTTGGTTTAAACCTGTGAGAATGATAAGGAAACCACAAGAGCTTTGCTGGACCATGTCTGAGCCACTCAAAACCGACATTTCCATGTTTTTTTACTACTGGTTCTGTGGGTGTGGCTTGGTGGGTGTAGCTTGGTGGGCATGGCAAGGGAAAGATACTGCAAAGTCCCTATTCCGTCCCCACCCCACTAACCTGCTTTCCAGCTCCGTTCTCCTGTGTGGGGCAACAAAAGGAGACCCAGCCGATCAGCTGGGACTCGGGAGGCAGAGAATAGATGGGGTTGGTGGGGTCAGTCAGAGGTGGTATTGGCCAGTTCTCTGAACTACTCAAAATTTCCGCTACCGGTTCTCCAGAACTGGTCAGAACCTGTTGAATACCACCTCTGATTCTCAGTCATCCAGGTCATGATTGCCCCAAATGTGCTTTCTCAAAAGGCAACTGCACTTTGTTTTTTGTAAAAGACGTTTTGCTTCTCATCCAAGAAGCTTCTTCATTTCTGAACTGTAGAAGCTTCTTGGGTGAAGAACAAAATATCTTCAAGGAAAAACAAAGTTGAAAAAGCGCCTTTAGGACAGACACTTCCATGGTTAGAATAGCTCATTCTGGTGTTAAAAGAGCCTGGGATGCTTTGCAGACTTCTAGTTAATACATCTGATGGTTGTGTGATCAAAATTCAGAGGGGAAGAGAAGATGTTCTTTTAAGGCCTATTATTAAGTTGCCTGGCAATATTTACCTTTCCATGATAAGACTTTTTTTTTGGGGGGGGGAGGGGGTGAAATTAAACAAAGTTATTAATGAGGACCCAGATTGTTGGGGACAATATTCTGAATCAAATATATCAGTTTATCTTATTCTGAATCAAATATATCAGTATACCATTTGGAAAGGGCTGTAAAGCACTGTGAAATGATATATAATTGAGTGAAATTGCTATTAGTATGAGGACCATGTTCACACCCAAGAAAAATTAGCCTTTTTAGCTATCTTTCTCTTTTAGTTGATTTTGATAGCTGCAGCAAATGCTGCTGACTGAAGAGTTTGTGAATGCAAATGATGGTGATGTGGGGTGATACAACTCATATCTCTTTGTGGCATGGTCAGATGAGAAAATATCTTTGGTTATAGGTCAGGCAAGTCTCAAAGCCAGAATGTTCAATTAGGGGTATTCAGAATGACTCTGAATCATCCCTTATCCATGGAAGGAAATTACAGAAAACATAGTCATAAACCATTTCTGACAGTAAGAAGTGTACAATGATAGAATAGTCTTATCTAATGATGGGTTGTGGATTCATCTTTTTAAAGATCTTTTTGACCTCCCATAAATGTTTTAAATGATTTCCCCCTATTTATTGCAAGAGGGTTAGACTTCTGCAAATTATTTTGGGGGTTCTTTCCAGTTCTACAATTCCATTCTGTTAAAAAGAGGTCTGTATGCAGCTTTAGGCAGCTGGAAATAGCCTACCTCAGGTTGTGTCAAGCTCAAGGCCCGCGGGGTGCTTAGATATGGGCCGCGGGGCCGCTCTAACAGTGATAGACCAGCCCGTGGTGCCTCTGCCAGCAAAAACGGGCTCCCGATCTCCGTTTTCGGCTGGGATGGCCTCTGGCAATCCTTTGCCGGTAAAAACGGAGCTCCGAGCTCCGTTTTCGCTGGCAGAGGGTTGCAGGAGGCCATCCCAGCTGAAAACGGAGATCGGGAGCCCATTTTTGCTGGTAGAGTACTCAGGCCAGCACAGGCATCCCCAACATGAGTGAAGTCAAGCTGGCCTTGCCCCCCCAGACTTCCCCCCACATCAAACAACCATGATGGGGCCCTTAATAAAATCGAGTTTGACACCCCTGGCCTAGCTAAAAGTTAGTACTGCTATCATCTGGGAAAGCCCACAGTGGCCTTAGTTCAAAGCATGATGGGAACAGCAAGTCGGGATGAGGGTTCTCTTTCCTGTCTGTACAGTTTTTCCCACAAGCTTCTGTGTAAAGCCTTGGCAGACGACACCTTGTGGGGTGGAAAAGGAAGTTTTCTTTTCAAGAGGAAACAAATGTGTTTTCCCCGTTCTTGGAGTTGGCAAGGAGACTGAATTTTTCCCAAGTTGGAAAGCTATATATGTTCCAGCTGTGCCTGATATGAGTCCCCTTCATGCAGGTGACCAGGAGTTTTAGAACAATCTGGAACTTGCCTTCTCCAGGAGACAACCTGGGCCACTGAAATTGAAAGGTCAATGACCAGCAATATAAAGTAATAAAAAGAGAAATAAAAGATAGCAATTGCAATCAGGATCAACAGAGAGAAGTGGGTACAATTTTATATTGGCAACTGTAAAATAAATATAGTACATTCTAAACACTCCTATTGCAATAATATTTTTATTGATCTAATACTAATTAATCAAATATATAATAAAAGTATACATTGAAATATATGGCCTCTAAAAGTTATTGGAAAATAACCAAGGAAAATTTTGATTAAAAGTAAAGAACTCTAGTTCTTTAACTGGTTTTTCCTTATTCTCACTGCAGCAGTACAAAATTTTGCTACTGATATGAATCTTGGAGAAGAAGATGGTTCACATAAAAATTATCTGAACTCCCTAGAAGTCTCTCTAATAATGGGAGAATTGTACATTGATCGGATGTCCCAGTAGAACTTGCAGCGCAATAAAAGACATGGGAGATATTTGCAACTTCCTCATTGTCCCATGTACACATTTGTTCTGCTATTGAAAATCTGGGCCACTGATCATTGGTCGTGGCAATAACAGCCTTTTGTTGAGAAGCAAACTCGACATTGCAATAAAGGAAGACTTCCAGACTATAACTATTGCATTTCTTCTGGCTGATCTAAGCACTCTTAGATTCTTCCAACAACTCAGGCTTGGAAGAAGCTCTTGAATGCCATTAGGAAGTATAGCTCTTCATCTAGAGAATTCCAGCAATGTCCATTCCATTCGGCCGAAACATCTCAAAAGGGGCTTTCATTTTTCTACTTCATTCCCAGAGAGCTTCAGAATTTTGATGGGGGGGGCGGGGAGAGGGTGTTTTCAGCTTACTTTAGGGTTGTGAGTTGACAAAGGGAGCGATATTTTTCGCTCCCTCTGCAGTGTCCCTGGCTGCTCCTGATTTTGGAACGGGTCTGAGGTTCCTTCCCTTGTGACTTGAGGTGTAGGAGGCTGCAAACAATTGATGTTAATGAAAAATAGAACATTAACACACCAGCCTTCAGAATAACTGTCATTCCTCAACATAGGATTTTCTGATACTAAAATAGACATGAGATACTTGGTACATCATGTTAATTGACACGAATCCACTGTTTGTCCATTCCTTGTTTGAGTAACAGCTGTGGCAAACTTATTTGCTACTGTTAGCTTCGTGTATTTTGGTAAGGAGAGCTTATCTAATTTTGGTTAAACATCATGATTAATAAACTCTGGCTTCTGGCTGAAGTGAAACCAGCCTATCCAAATATGCCGATCTTGGTAAATGAGGAACAATAAGAGTAGAAAATGAAATAATGGTTGACCTTTCATAAATCATTTAAAAAGAGCTGGAAGTTTCTGTTGGGAAGTTATGATCAAACGTTGCTGAACTTCAGCAAACTATCTACAGGTCCTTTATTGGATGAAGTCTCCTTGTCTGCCCACCCATGACATAGAGGACTAGACTTGCAAATAGTGAAGCTACAGCTCCTAAACTAGCTTTCCCAAACCTGGTGTCTTCCAGGTCCAATGAATTCTTCAGCGCAGTGGTGGGATTCAAATTTTTTTACTACCGGTTCTGTGGGCATGGCTTGGCGGGTGTGGCATGGCTTAGTGGGCGTGGCAGGGGAAGGATACTGTAAAACCCCCATTCCCTCCCCACCCCACTAAACTGCTTTCCAGCTCCGTTCTCTTGTGCAGGGCAATAAAAGAAGACCCAGCCGATCAGCTGGGACTCTGGAGGCAGAGAATAGATAGGGGCAGGGGCAGTCAAAGGCGGTATTTGCTGGTTCTTCAAGCTACTCAAAATTTCTGCTACCAGTTTTCCAGAACCGGTCAGAACCGACTGACTACCGCCTCTGCTTCAGTGTCATGCTGGCTTGTTGTAAGTCCAAACCATCTGGGAGGATTTAGTCTTCTGAGTTTTCAGACTCCTACTGGAGGCCATCTTCACTCAGGGAATGTATCTGTGTGTGTATGTGTGTGTGCACATAGAGAAGTTCCTGAAGTTGGGCTCTAGCACAAGTTCCAAAGCTTGGAAGACTAAATCTCTGGGCCTGGTGACCAACTCTGATTGGATCCCGCAACATTATCCTGGGACACGTATATTGGGAAAGAATCAAATATAGGAGAAGACTGGATGAGTTCATTCTGTTGCTTGATATTTCCTGGCCACAGGAAGCTCTTTACCCAAAAAGATTCTTGTGTCAACAATACGAATAAATCAAGCTTTTTTCATAAGGAAATCCACCACTGACTTCTGCTCTGGGATTATTATTAGTATAATAAAAAGGTATATTTTATAAATAGAATGTGAGCATGGCCTCGTGTTGAAAGTAAACCTCGCATGCATTTATAATTTAATCAGTTTTATGCACTGTTATTTACTCTATTTAGAGCAACGGTCTTCAAACTTGGCAAGTTTAAGACTTGTGGACTTCAACTCCCAGAATTCCTGAGCTAACATGACTGGAAGAGGAATTCTGGGAGTTGAAGTCCACAAGTCTTAAAGCTGTCAAGTTTGGAGACCCATTATTTAGAGTATATAGACTATAAGCCCTGAATGGGTCTTTGGGAATCATGATTAAGATTCCTGCTTGCAGGCATTCCCAACGGATCATCATTTTTCAGCAAAAGGGGAAGCTCCCAATTCTTTCTACTCCATTGTTGAACAACTCTTAGAGGCAGTAAATTATCCTGAGATCCAGCTATTTTCCAGTTATCCTTTGGAACAATGCAGAACAGCTCTGAGGAATAAATGGTGGGAGTTTGAAACTCACGACAAAAATTGATGCAAGGTGTCCTTGGTGCTCTCCGAGCTTGATTGTTTTCCTGCAGACATTTCATTACCCAAACTAGGTAGCATCCACCAGTGCTCAATTGCTGTCCCATGGGTTTTAACCTAGTTCCTTACATGTTCCTTTCCTCCTTGTGGCAGGGGAAGGCCTTTGTAAAGGAGAGTCTGAAATGCATTGCCAACGGTGTCACATCCAAGGTGTTCCTGGCCATTCGCCGATGTTCCACATTCCAGCGTATGATTTCTGAAGTGCAGGAAGAATGTTATAGCAAGCTGGACATCTGTGGTGTTGCAAAAAGGAATCCAGAAGCCATCACAGAAGTGGTCCAACTCCCAAACCAATTCTCAAACAGGTAGGTTTGATACTCATTTAAAGGAACCGTTAAATCGACTGGGGGATGTTCAAGTCCCTGGCCAACAAGATTTTATTTGTTGGTTCATTTTTTACTATTTTTGCAAATAAGTTCAAACCTTTATTGTCAATGCACAACGTGTGTACAATGACATTGAAATGTATTCTGTGTTTTTTGAGGTGTATTCTGTTTTTGTGTGGGCTACACCAATGGAGGCCAATTCAATTTCATTGTACACATGTTGTGCATTGACAATAAAGGTTTGAACTTGAACTTGAATTAAGTCAAAGTGGCAAACATATCCAACACACTTCATACTTTCCCCACAAAAACAACAACAACCCTTTGAGGTGCGTTGGGCTAAGAGACAGGGAGTGGCTCAAAGTCACCCAGCTGGCTTTCATGACTAAGGTGGGTCTTGAACCCACAGCCTCCCACTTTCTAGCTTGGGGCCTTAACCATTAGACCAAACTGGTTCCTTTTGTGAGAGGCAGATCATCTCTACAAGTGAATATATTCTGTGTTTGTTTACTGTAGTTTATTTAAGTATATAGCCTGCTTTTCCTGACTGGTTTATCTCGTCACTTGGTGGCCAGAGAGAAGGCAGCCCTGCGCATTTGTCAATTTGTCAGTCAATGGATCAACCCATGGGAAGCTATGAGGAAAGCCACAGCTACTATTTAGTGGGATTAAGCAGTGTGTACAGAGTGTGGCAAGTTGTACCTCAAGATTGCAGCTTTTCACAGCAGCCTGTGTCCTGCATGAGTTATTTGGGGATTCTCAGAGCATCAAAGAACGAAGAGAGTTGGATCTCCCTCTCTCTTTAAATTGTAACCTTAGAAAGAAACTAAGAGAGCCAACTGCTGAGGGATAAAATTCAGGCCTGGGTTTAATCTCGGTCAAATTGAAAAAGGCTGCTGTGTGTGAAACCTCCCCCCTCCCAGAGAAAGAATCACATGCAGCAGTGTTCTGTTGGTTGGGAAATCTTGGTTTGGTAGTCCTGATTTATCAGCTGGATAAGAAACAAAGCCAGCTTTGGGCTGGCTGAGGGAAGGGAAGGAAAGGGACGAGCAGTCAGAAGTGTCCTTTGGGGGATGAAAAAAGTTTAAGGGGGTGGTAGGAATTGTGCCATCAAAATTTTGCCCTCTTTTTCTGTGTACCGCATATGAAAAGCAAGACTTCAGTCACATGATTGCTGGCATTATATTGACTTTTATGACCCCCTTATGAGTGGCTTATGAAAACATTGTGATTGCTGCGTACCACAGAACAAAACACAAACATTAGACTTGTTCTATTTTTCCTGAAAACATTATTGAAAGAATGGCCACCACACAGTCACAGGGTGTTCTTGAAACATGAAGGGTTTGGTATTTTGTTTGCTTGTTTGTTTTTTGTTTTAGTGACTGAAATAAAAGGCTAATACTACAAGCTAGAAATAAGCCCAACAGGATTTCCTAGTGAGTAAGTTGACACTTCCCACACCCCTTCAAAGAAACTAAGAATGGCTAAGTTGGTGATAGAGCTGAGCAGGAAATTATTAAAAAGTCAGCACATCTTCCTCTGGTTTAGCCTGAAGTGACCTTTATAATACAGGAAGCGAAGTTTAAGGTTCATATATTGATATTAATCCTAAAAGATTGCCATTCTCAAGAGATTTTTTTTAAAAAAAACAACAACCAAAAGATAATTTTCACACTTGGTTTGGATGATGGTTTTTCTGAATTGAAATCCTACAGCCAAGGTGAAGTCCCCCTAATGGCCCAGAAGTGTACACTAGATATAGGAAATGGTCAGACTGTATGAGGTGGGACTATTCAGGATGTTTGAATTGGGTAAATCCACAGTGAAGCAAAAGGATTTTCCACTCATCCCCCGAGGGAAGGAAAAATCAGATTGTGGATTCTCCATATCCTTCCATATCTCTGTGGGTAAGATTATTGGCGCTGACAGCATTTAGAGAGGGCAAAACTAGAAGTGAATGGTTCAGAACTATAGATAGAGTAGAACTGCGTCCCACTAATGGATCTGTTAATTAATATATTAATTAATTAATATATTAATTAACAAACACTTGAATAGCTTGCCTCCTGCTGGCTTCATTGGAGGTTTTCAAAAATAGACTGGGCAACCATTTGACTGGGATGTTATAAAATCTACTATTTTGAGCACGGGATTGGGCTAGAAGGCCTCCAGCCCTATTATTTTCACGTTGTCTCCTTCAATTTGGGTAGGGAGCTAAAGAGTTTTCTTCTATTTTTAAAAATGCATGAAGCCTATTTTAGGCTATAGCACTATTTCCAAGATAGCAAGAATATTTGCCATTTCTTTTATCAGTTTGCTTAATAGAATATCTTGCCTCTCCTTGAAGAGCTGAGGGAATTCCCTTTTGTTTTATCCTCCAAACAACCCTGTGAGGTAAATTGAGCCAAGAGAGATTGCGTGGCCAAGGCATTCGGTAATTTTCCATGGTGAAGGGTAGGCTATTGGTTTGTTCGTTCATTTATTCTTTCCATTTACATCCCACTGTAATCCAAATATAGCTTTCAGCAGTTCAGAGGATACATCTAGTAAAATATCTATGGCACTTATAAATTTTAAAAATACCGTAGGTCATTGCATATAATTTTGAGAAATCATGAAGGATAATGATTTCAATGTAATTACATTCAGTCATAGCCTTCCTGCTTAGAAGCATCCGTAGGAGGTATCAGGATCTTCTACTGCTACCATTGAATAGGGGGATCCCTACTGGATTGTTGAATTTTTGAATACTTTAGAATTTTTTGCTATATTTTATATTATTTTCACTTCCTGGAAGCCAATCAGTGGCACTGACTTATAATCTCTAGAAGAATTTGATAGTATCTTATCAATCAGTTGGTTTGAATCTTAATAACTTTGACAATGACAGTACATTAAAATAGTGGTATGTTAAAAGAGCATTTGATCTGTCCAAACTTGGTCTTTCAGTAGTGCCCCCATGGCCACTGTAACTGAGTCCACCCACCTCCATCCTGATCCCATTTTGCTCTCCTCTTTTCTTGCACGTTTTCCAGGAAGAGAGAGAAGAAGAAAATGATATGAATTATTATTATCAGTCGTTTATATCTTTTGTATTTGTTTAGCCCTCTTGAGTGCTCAGAGGATTGGTCTACAGTTATAATCTAAATTTAGATCTCCCTTTACTCCAAGATTTCAATTCCATTTGAATCCCCATGGCACTCAGTGTTCTTTCCTGGCCAAGAATGGATTTGAAGTGTAGGCCCACCATAACAATTACAACACACTGGGTCCTCCTGCATTTCCTCTATACTTCAGAGGAATTGAAAAAGGGAAGATTTTGTGGCTGAGGGCAAGCAATTTCCTAAGCTTTAGCTCCATCTCTTCAGTGTTATGCCATTTCAAGTTAATTGACTCCGGATGAGTAAAATCTGGAAGTCTTTTGTTGGTTTCACCTCCAGCAGCCACCCCTTAGGTTAAAATGACACAGAGAGCATTCTTGACTTGACCAATTTAACAAAGGCCGCTGGTGCTTCTTTTGCTAGTCCCTAAGTGAAAGAGCAAAGTGGATGAGAATCTAATGGGATTTAAACCTGGAGTCCCTCCGCTTTTCTCATTCCACCTTCGAAAATTGACATGTGCGACACTAAAAACAGGTTCTTAGCCCGTGCTTGCACAAATTTCCTCTCTGCAAATGAAAATATGACTTGCATGTCTGGAGCGGTTATTATAGGGCTGGAAAAAATATTTCAGATTTTTAAGACGCCAGCGTCTGGATCCTTGGAGGAGCTGACTTCCCAAGGCCTCTGAGGCAGATCTATGGGAACAATGCACCGGATTAGCCTTCCCCACGTTTCTATGTCATTCCGATGTGGCTTCAGGCAGTTGCTGGGTAGGGAAAGGGCCTCTACTTGATTAAGGCTCTTTCTTTGTCACAGAAGGGACTGCACAGCTGCTTTCAGGTTGAGGTGGTTTTTAAAAAACGATGCCATTGGTAAGCTCAGGAGATGCTGTGTTCTGGTCAGATACCTGGATCATGGATTTGATCTGAATAGTTGGCAGGGATGGGGGGCAGTTTGATGTGGTTCATTTGTGCTTTTTAATGGACAAATGTGGAGGTCCCATTAGAAGACCCAGAGGTGCTTTCTTTCCAAAGGCAACTGGGCTTTCTTGTTTTCCTTGAAGACATTTTGCTTCTCATCCGAGAACCTTCTTGGAACTTCTTCCTTTTGCTACCTATTGATAGAGTTGATCCTATAATGGGCCATGGTTGAGGTGTATTCTCACCTGCATTTGGGCTGTGCAAAATAGGTTGAAATGGAGTCCAGTTGCCTTTTTGAAAAAGCACCTCTGGAACAACCATGATCTGGATCAGGGATCTCCAACCTTAGCAACTTTAAGCCTGGAGGACTTCAACTCCCAGAATTCCCTAGCCAGCAAAGCTTTGAAGTTCTCCAGGCTTAAAGTTGCTAAGGTTGGAGACCCCTGATCTGGATGATTGGGAATCTCCACAGGCGTTCTAAATACTGGCTTCTGAATGGTCCTGAATTCTATGAAGTCTCTTGAGTACTAATCAATATTGTCTTTATGCAGGTATTACAGCAAACTTATGAGAAGTTTGTTGGAATGTGGGGAAGAAATTGTCGGGACCATTAAAGACAGTTTGATGGCCAAAATTGGACCAAACATGGCCAGCCTGTTCCATCTCCTGCAGACCGATCGCTGCGCCCAGATTCATCCGAGAGCAGACTTCAATCGGAGACGCATCTCGGAGCCTCAAAAGTTAAAAATCTATTTGAGGAATCTCCAGGGGGAGGGACCTTCACCAGCCTACGCGAAGCGTGATTCTTCAGAAAGCGTGTAATGTGCCATTGAATGAGTAGAGAATCCCAGTTGTACCAAACTAAGAAATTGCTCTTTTTTTTTTCTTTTGCATTCACAATACACCAGAAATGTACTGTAACTGACTTCTAAGGACATTTAGCCAATCTATACAAACAAACAAACAAACAAACAAACAAACAAAAAGGACATGGCATAGTTTTCCTGGGACTGTACGACTTAAAGCTTGAGGTGGGGAAAACTGCCTATTTAAAGCTTAATATTGCAAATGTAGTCATGCATAAATAGTTCTTTCAACAGTGTAAAATATTTTATGAGGACCTCCTTTAATTGGGAAAGAATAGTTGACATCTACTTCTTCTCCTCTACCATTAATCATAATATATTCTGAAGTGGTACAGTCACAAGCAATTGGTTTTCCATGTTTCTATGGAAGTATAGATTGGTCCCTGGTCATTGGCTATAGAGTTTTTATTTCTCATCCCCTGGTCCTGCCTCACCCTTCAAACAAAGTGTATGAAAATAGAATTCTGGTTAGGACTGTATAAAAGCTCCATCTCATTATGGAAGGATAGATCCCTTGATCTTCCCTAACCGATCAAATGAATATAAGCTTTTCTTGAAAGTGTTTGTAAGAGCACTTCAGCAAACACCAAACTTTCCTTGTACTGTAGCTCAAGCAACTTGACAGTCAGATAGTGTAGATATAGTTCTGCTTATCCTAAGTGGAAGACAAGAAGGGGGAGTCTAAAATAAAAGAAAAGTTGGTAGAAAAAGATGTATTCTGTAGATCTCACTGGACCATTGATACGAATGGTACTGGTTCCTAGGCAAACATCAGTGTCCTATCTAGACTCTGAATCTCAGTGCAACAAGGTTTATTTTTCTCACTTTTGAGTGTTGTCCCAGGCTTTCCAATTAAGGGAAGAAACAAAACATTTTTGCTAGCCTGAGAACTGAGCCAACAAACAGCTAAGTCTTCGATTTTTCTACCAACTAGATCCTCCCCTTCAGGTCTTCCTTGAAAAAAAGGCACTTAGCCAAAGATTAGATATTGATCTTTTTTTCCCCTTAAACTACCCTGCAATGTCTAGAGGTTGTAAGCAGGTGGGGTAAGATGACACTATAAAGTGATGTCCAAGTTGTTGTTCTGGAACCTTGATACACCAACAACTTAGGAAATGTGCTGCTGTCTTTGCATTGCGAGAGTTTTACTGCCTGTGGAGAATTCCTCCCCACTTTCCATTTTAACATACAGCAAGAGCTTAGCCCTAGAATTGTCATTGGCATAACAAATTATGCTCAAGATCCATCTTCCTCATCCCACTGTTCTCCTGATGTGTTATGCTATGGGTCCCATCACTCTCCAGCATCATGCTTGCTATTGAGTGATTGTAGACATATTCCAACACATCATAAGAATACCGGTTGGGAGAAGACTGCCTAGAACCTTGGCCTAGTTCTCACCATGATGGAGAAATTGTCTTGCACTTATTAAGGCCATAAGTTGAGAACCTTGTGATGGAATGTGGCATGCACAAAACAAAGTGTTTGCATGTAGAAATTGGCATGTGTAGGGATAGGTTTGGTTACATCTCAATGGACATACTCTCTTGCTAGAAGGAAGTCTTATGTTATTTGGACAGAAAGGCAGTTCTTTTATTTTAAGAGTAGCCTCTTACAGTTTGACATGGAAAGTCTTTTCTAGAGGACCCTTGCATGGTAGTAGACAGAAGGGTTTAAGGCATGTCTATATGTTCTTGGGATGCTAATACCTCTTGCATGGTCTCTAAAAGAGCAGATGAAACCATCTAACATACCATTACTTTTCCCGGGTCACTTTTAGGAATCCAGTGACCACTGTCTTAAGAATATAGCCTTGAGCCTTACTCCGTGATAGAAACTGAACAAATTGTGTATTAGGCAAAATTTCCAGGGAATTTTTTAAAATGATATCAAATAGCTTTGCAACAAGTAGTTCCATTTGATAACCTCTGCTGGAAAGCATCAGTACAAAAGTATGACTCCATTCTAAAGGCACTATACTATTAAATTATTTTGCTTAGGAATGCCACTTGAATCAAGAGAAAGGATTAGACAAGAAAATTACTTTGGTTATTGTCAGATGCCATAACATAACCACTGCCTACATTAAAGTGAGGTTCTTGGGCACTGCTTTAAAAAAATAGCTTCACAAAACTGACCTAAACATGATGTGCCTACACATAGCTTAGCAATCTAGTGAGGGCTTGCCTTAACTCTCAGTGCATTGGGTTGGAGCAAGATTAAGTCGTTCAACTCAGGTCCCCTCCAGTTTCATGGTCAGGTTGGTTGTTAAATCTCAAAGGAGGGACCAAATTCAGCTAACTTAGTTTGTTGGGAATCCGCTCTTTGTGACCTTTGAAATGTCAAAGTTAATGTCCCACTGAAGCAGCCTTTCAGATGAAGTGTAAAACTCAGGGTCAGCTTATAGTTGAAGAGGAGATGTTGGGCAAAGTAGGTTTGATGGATTCTCCTGAGATATCTCTTCTCTTTCCTTGCAAGTGTTGATGGGCAAAAGCACCACATTTCCGAAGCTGCTTGGGCCCTGCCAGCTTGTACTTTTGTGTGTGTGTGTGCAATGCTTGGGCATGAGGCCACTCCAGGGAACATAGAGAATTTTTATTGGGAGATTTTGTAGGACTCTGGCAATGGGCCTGACTATGCTGGGTGCTGAAATTAATCTTGGAGAAATTGTTCCTGGAATATATCCCTTCTGCTAGGAAGCTGAGAGTGCATCTAAGAAAGCTAGCATGTCAGGAAGAACAGTCAGCTCCCGCTCTTCCTGATCTCTAGTTTCCTGTTTGCAGGTCATTTATAAAGATGATATATATTCCATCGAGCACTTCTCTGATTCTCCAGTTTGAAAAGAGGTATTTTAGGAGCAGCTTGAATTTAAAAGAGGGTTGTTCAGTCCAGGCTTTGCTGCTCCCTTGAAAAATTAGCTTTCCTAATGCACTAGCTTCGAAACTTTGCTGGGAGGATTTAAACAGGCACTTTACCTATTGCACTTTCCAAATCAGAATAAATATGGTCCATCATGTGTGAAGTTCATCTTCCAAAGGAGAAGTCTTTTGGACTGCAGTCAGGTTCCACAGAGACTCGATCCATGTACATTCCAAATTTGCAGGGTCATCCACAAGAGGTAAGGGTCAAAAGATGGTGGTGTCAATGGTGTATCCATCTCTGTCTCTTGTCTTTTGCTGCCCCCTCTGTGGACCCCCCTGCAAACTTCTCCAGTGAGGGAAGTGGCAACCACAGGTGACCGTTACCTTACTGTAGAGAAGCGAATAATCACAATGAATATACCGAAAATACGCTTCTCATGGAAAACTATTTAAAAAGCAATAGAATGTTTACCACAACGCCTTTAAGCATTAACTTGCTGCTAAAAATACATTTCTCACCCGAGGCAGTACTTCAGCCTTTGCTGTCTTCATTTAAATGCATGTAGCCCGAGAAAACTGTGGTTATAGAATTATAAGCAGCAAAGGAAGAAGGGAAGAATTGCCAAGAGCAAGATTTTTATATTCTATATTATGCAGTCAAGCGCAGTCCAGGTGTGATGCTGTGGAATAGAAACTTAAATGCTTTTCAGGTAAATTCAATTCTCCTTTGCTTGTTTCAGGATTGTGTCTTTTCAACAATGCTTTAAAATGAGGGTTGATTGGGGAGCGAAGCGTGTTTCTTGATTTGTGAGTGTGGAGCATTGGTATTCCACATTAAATTGCTTGAATATTAATGACGTGTTGGGATTTTAGACGGGGCGGGGAGAGAATGCATATGGGAGAAAGAAAATCTATTGGACAAATAAATTATATCGCACTAGAGCAGGGATCTTCAAAGTTGGCAACTTTTAAGACTTGTGGACTTCAGCTGCCATGCTGGTTGAGGAATTCTGGGAATTGAAGTCCACAACTCCTAAAGTTGCCAGCTTTTAGAGAGCCCTGTATAAGAGGATATTGCTTTACCCTGACAGGTATAGAAATTCCTTAAAACCCATAGGTTTATTCACAAAGTAATTTTAACTGCACTGAAATTTATATTTAATTTTGTAGTAGAATGAGGTTCCCTCGCAAAAAATGTGCACTCCCAATAATGGTCAGTGTAACAACAAAGGAGTCAAAAGAGGCTGGATAGTAGATGTGGCATCTCAGTGAAAGGCCCTACTCACCATCTTGCTTCTCTTGATTGCTTCCTATGGGTGCTGTTGTACTGTAAACCAGACCCAAGCTTGTTCATGAAACAAGTGCACATCCCTAAGATGGCCAAACCGAATGGTCCTTGGGGGCTAATCCATAAAATTGTCTTAAGAAAGGCAAAATTCATCCCCACCGCAACCTCCTTTGGCAGAGGAGAGCTCTGAGGATGTTGTAAGATGTCAACATCTCATCAAAATGTGGCAAGGGATTGTGGGAGTTTTTAGTTTGTGATCTAAAGCAGGGGTCTCCAACCTTGGCAACTTTACGACTTGTGGACTCCCAGAATTCCACAGCCAGCATGTGCTCTTCAGATTCTACTGAATTACATCTTCAACCAAGCTGGTCTGGATCTGAAGACCGGTATCTTGTGCTTAACACGAAAAGTAGCAAGTTGTCTACCCTTGATCTAGGGACTCTTGCCTTTCCTTCCTCCTCTTCCCCTTTTTCTTGATGACAAACCCTCTTAATGCGTGAAAGTGACTTGTACGAACAGAACTAGCCACTCGTAAGCAACAAGGCTTCTATTGGAAAAAATAAATCTGTAAAGGAAGGAGAGAGAATTTTTTAAAAGGGAGCATGTGGAAAATGTTCAAATTCGAACCATTCTGAATCCCAAATCAATGGTTTCAGGTTCAAAACAGGACTTTTCAAGCATTTCGGAGGTGTTACACTTCAGAAATGTTCGAAGCATCCCATTTTGCTTTTGGGCAGCTGTCTCCATGTCGAAGGGAGCATTTCAAATCCTAGATGGTCCAAATATGAAATGTTTTACAAAATTATTTTTAAAAAAGCAAAATCCTCCCACTTCCTCCTCCTCATCCAAATACAATGAGGAA